CATCCAGGCTCCTTAGAAAGGACACAATAAAAGCTATAAATATACATTCCTCCTTCATTAATCATATGGAGAGTACCCTGATATTTTTTCCATCTCAGCTTGTTTCCCACTAAATTATATTTTTACAATGCACACGGTGTCCTTGCTCATTTTATTATTGACTAATTGAATCGTCTCTTTCAGGACATAAATTACATGGGACCAGGGCTGGAGGTAACCAGGAGAGAGCCAGACCCATGGGGCACTGCAGGACGTAAACCATGGGTACATCCCCTGCAAAACACGTTGTGAAACATTTTAAAACGAATTTTAAATAATTTGTTCCAAAAATCCAGGCTTTTACACTGGTTGTGAAACTCCTGTTAAGGAAAGTTTCCCTTGATAACCTCAGTGTGTGTGGCAAGGGTGTCCCTCTTGTTGCAGGCAGCTCTATATTCCCGTGAAATTCTTCTTGATCCAGCGGGATTTGCAGATTTGTTTATGGAGAGGGTTTTGTGCGAGGCAGAGGCTGGCAGAGTGCTCAGTGCCCCAAACGCAGGTGTGGATTTTGCCGTACGGGGATGCACACAGCGAATTAAACGCTGACGTGACTGCAAAGCACCGGCTAATGCAGGTGTCTGAGGCGTCTCTCCTTGTGAAGCTTGCTTCATTATTTTATGTTTCTGTCAGGAAACAGGGGGTTTGGCCACTAAAAATATCCCGGGGCATTTTCACAATGGAATAATTACCTCCTCAGAAGGATGTTTGGGTTTCTCCAGCTTACCCTTGCCGAGCTACGCTGCTATCTGATATGCCACAAGGATTACCAGCAACCAGCTGCAATTTATCCTGAAAATGGAAGCGGTGATTAAAAGGCAGGACTGGTAGTGTAACTCCTATAAAAGCTGGTTAGCAATTCCCATCATAAAATCCTGCCCTCAGTCGCATTTAATAGGGCCAGACTAACCACTGTGCTGAAATTTAGGCATCTGAAGTTCATACCTTGGGTTAAATTATAAGCATTTTCTCCTTCTGTTCCTTCTGTCAGGGATTTTCTATTCTGAAAATGAGAGTGGTCACTTTGTCAGAGGTGTTCCCTCAAACCCTGCTATAAAAACCCTCCTGAAAGTCCTGCTAGTTCCTGGCAGGGGCTTCCTGGCGCTTCCACTCCCCAGCAGCTCCATCCTCACCACAGCCCAGGGCTGTGGGATCAGAGCTGGACCTGCAGCTCCAGTTCCTGGCTGCTCTGGACCATGCCATGTCTGCAGGTAGGAAAGGCAGACCTGTCCTTCCAGTCTTCTTGGGAAACACAGAGCAGGAAGTTCCTTGAAAAACACACAGTGGGGACAGGAACTGGGTCTGGGACAGGTAAGTTGGCAGGAACAGAGGCTCTGGAGAGAGACAGGTTCTCCAGGGTGGTGAAAGGGAATGAGGAGCCAGAAGGAAAAACAGGTCTACCTGGAGGGAGGGATAAAGCAAAGCTCATAAGAAGGAGTCTGGAAGCCAGGCTGCTGGGAGAAGACTTTAAAGCAGAGTGGAAATGAGAGGAATTGCTGGGAGGAGGACATGCAGCCTGGCAGGACTGGGAGCTGTCCCTGTGCTCTGGACAAGGTTTGAGGGACAGCCTGCTGGGCAGAGGGGATCAGATGGAAGAGCTGCAGTGAGGCAAGGGAAAAGGACCCCGAGGCTGGGTGTGGGATGCAACAGGGCCTGTGGGAAGAGGGAATTCACTAGGAACAGTGATGTAGTAATGGGAATGACAGAAACTGGGGCAGGGAGGCAGAGCAGAAAGGTGAGGATTTGGGAATGGGAATGCAGACCACCTGAAAAGCAGTCAGCAGGACCTGAGCTACACTGAGAATGTGCCTCACCCCCTTGGAGTGCTGGAGCTTGTGCCAGCCATGACATCCCTCACAGAGGGAAATTTCCACTTTGCTGATGGCCTGCATCAATGTCAGCTCAGGATTACATTACTGGGGTTATCTCTACATGGGAAAGAAGTACACATTCAATAAAGCACTCAGGCTGCACTGTAACACACTCCCCAGTTACCAAACACCAGGACAAAGGCAACCAGTGCAGAAGGATATGCCAGGCTCAGACACTGAACCAGGGTCAGGGAAGCCAGGCAAGTGCCCCAACAACTTCCACCTCATTTACTGCAGAAATCAGATGTAGGTACTTTATGCACCTTGTGAGGAACTGCTGGGCAAGCAAGCACAGCACTGTGGGTGGGGCAGGTGACTGCTGCTCCCAGAAAGGATTTTTAGCCTCTGGAATTTGTGGGATGCACAGCACAGTCCCCAAACAGACCTGCCCAGCACTGCACTAATTGTGCAGTCAGCACTGCCCAGGTGCCTGGGCTCACATTTTGAAGCCTGACTTGCAGAAATGAAGAACTCTTGCAGATAAATCTGCAATAACTGAGAATTTATACAACTTCTGACTCAATTAGATGCCTAGCCATGTTCTATTTTCTGACAAAATCAGGCCATTGAGTATTTCTAATTGGATCTCTGAAATGAAAAGATATTTTTTACTACTCTGTCTGTACACCCGAGTTCCTCGTCTGTAAAATAAGGGCAACACCAGTTCTCGCTACAGTGTTGAGAAAATGAATTAGAGTTTGTGAAGCACTTGGATACCATAGTGATGAGTCCCATGGAAAAGCTCGGGAGGAAATGAATAAATCTGTCTTCAGAACAATATTTGAATAGTCTGCTGTAAATAAAGCACGGGCCACACAGTGAACAGCAAGGAGAAAATAAAATTATTACTTTGTGAGCACAGTCTATTCTGTACAATGAGTGAGGCCAGGAACCTGTTGAAAGAACAGCGTGTGATCTAATTAGAATTAAATACTGTATCATAATGCAAATGCATGGAAGGGACAAATTACAGTTGCATAGGCCACCTTAATGTTGGTATTTCTAAACTTTTAGACTCTTGAATTTAAAAAAGAACTCCACTGTTAGGTGCAAAGGTGTAATACACATGAATAAATGATTTCCTCGCCCTTTAATAGTGGGAGACAATATATTTACCTCCTCTACCTCAGCCACTTAAGTGGAAAAAGTGTTTTTCTCTTCTTGGAGATATCTCAGCCTTACAGCCAAGATTTAACGCTGTCATTCACACGCTGACATAGAGATTTAAATCCAAAATTTACCTTCTTTGGGAGTCTGTGCACGATCATCAGAGACAGCCTATTCTCCAGAGAGGGAGCCAGAGGAGGACCTTCATTTCAGTGATTAAAATTTTGTGTTTTGCTTGGAGTGCTTCCCATTCCAAACCAGCCCCCTGGTTTTGGTGCAGAGGCAAGGTTATGGAACAACAACTCCCCTGATCTTTGCGACTCCTCAGTCCCGAGGCTGCACTGAGCTCTCCCGACTCCTGCTGAGACTTGGAGCCGCTTCAGAGCGGCTGTAAATTGCTCTGGGTTATCTGTGGCCCACAAGAAGGGTGATGGAATTAGGATTGCACTGTTCAGTGCCACTCTGCTCGTGCCTATTTTTCTCATCGTGATTTCTCTATTGCTTAGCAGGATGTGAGGTGACACTCAATCGTTACACCAATTTCTTGTTATCCAGAGAATTTCCCGTTTCCAGGCATCCTCTGGCAGCTGGTAAGGGCAATTTGGGATAAGAAGGGGCTGCAGCACAAATAAAGACGTGGCTCGTTAAGTTTAAGACTTAGAGCTGTGAGATACCTTCAGTTTAACCTGCTGTGCTGCCTCCCTCGTGTGAGGCATTGGCTCCATTCATGGACAACATCTGGCACATGGCCTGTCTGATTATTCCCAATCTCCATCCTGATTCCAGCAGCAGTGCCTAGCAAGGTGTGCTGTCTTTCATCCTTCAATAGGAGCTAGATTTATTTTTTTCATTTCTTTTTTTACATTTATTGGTCACAGATGTGGTTTTGCAAACTGCTCTGAGGTTAAAAGTCATCCTCTGGACTTTGCCAAGCAAATTCTAGGTTAGCAGGTCATATGCCAAAAACCCTCCAACCCCAGCATGTACTTCTGTCATTCCTGAGGTCAACAGCAATTCCACTCCTCACTGGAATCAGGGAGGGTCATAAATGGAAGCAGACCTTCCAATCACTGAGGTGAGTTCCCTGAGAAGGCTGAGAGGAAGCTCCTTGAGTGCCAGGTTGACAGAGTCTGAAACATAAACAGGGCAGTTGGTACAAAATGCTTTTAAAGGCTTCCCTTGCTGAGCAAGGGAGCTGCTGAGGTCTAATCCAATGTTTATTTATTTAGGGTTTTCAGAGATAGATGGAGGGAACCTAGAATCCAAAAGGCAGGGTTTACTGGAATCCAATCTACAATTTAAAAGAAAAGGGTAATGCATGTGTTATCAGGAAATGCATAATGATGTGGGATATGGATCTCTGGGCATCCAGGAGGAGAGAAACGCAGGTAACCCCCAGGGGGAAAGGCTGATGTTACTGCAGGCAACAGGATTTTTGTCATCCATGTCAATGGTGTGAGATTTCATCTCTGGAAGCCTGTGCCACAGGTGCTCACAGTGACTGTGTTTTCCTGTTTTGGTGGTTGTCATTAGTCCTTGTTCTCAGATGAGATCATTACTGGGGACACACTGACCATGCCCTCACTTTTCCAGTGTCCCACTTCTCCCTGAGCTATAACAACTGATCTTTGGACTGACAGACTCTGCACATCCAGTAAGAGAGGAGACAGATGGTCCATGCCCTCTCATGTGAGCAGGATCAGCCTCCTCTGCTCCTTAAAAACCACATAAGCCAGGCAAGGATTCCAGGTGGTGTTTATCCCAAAGCTTTTCCAACAATTCCACAAGAATGTTAATTACTGACACCAACAATCTTGTTCTCATTCATACAATGGGAGTGCCTAAAGGTCTTACCTGAGGTTGTGTTAGATACTGTAGGATCACACAGGAAAAGGCAGAGGGGTTTTAGTGCAGCTTATCCTGACAGGAAGTCAGAACCATGGAGAGCTGTTGGAGGTAGAGCAGCAGGGCCACCTTTCACATCTCCTGAGTCCCAGTGCTTGTGCTCTGTAAATACCATCACGTTTCTGCTGTGCCAGGGGAAGTGAGACTGCAGCAGTCTGAGAGAATTCAAAGCGAGAGGAAAACTGTGCAGAGGAGAGAGGAGAAGAACAAAAGGGAAAGAATTGATGCTCAGCACACAGAAATGGTCATTTGCCTCTGGGCTTGGGAAATCAAAGAAATAACATTAGACCAACAGCAGAGGATGCCTGGAAAACACAGCCCATGTGTTTCCTGGAAATGGAAAGAAAAGGCCTCATTATCTGTGAGAGATACAGACAGATCAGCCAGGGTTAGATGAGCAAGTCCACACATAAAACTTGACACCAAATAGACTTGGCTGTTGTGTCAACACCCACAACTCCCACTGTGTCCTTCCTTTTGGTCTGTATCTCAGACTGTGATTTGAGGTGTTTAAAATTCAATATACAGAAACATTGATTCCAGGAGTCATTGCTTGGGACATGGTGGCTGAAGTGTCCCTCTGCTTTAAATGGCAGGAACTGGAGGCACAGAGTGCTATTAGAACCTTGTGATGGAAGAGTAAATAAGGGCAAAATTACCTCAGTCTGCTAATTCAACAATTCAAAACCAGCCATTGCTATGATGTAGTGAAGACAGGGACAATGAACCACAGAAACAGGAAGGAATAATGACATTGGACAATAGGTTGGGACAGGGACAGAGTCCTGTTTGCTGTAATAATCTTGTTCATGCACTCTCAGACAGCCCTTTAAAGTCATAGTTTTGGCTTTGGTTCCTCCAAGTGGAATGCTCAGACAAACCTCACCACCCTTTCAAATGCTATGAAGGAATTTCCTATAAATATAATGGATTTTTCATGGAGGAAATATTGGACTTCTTTATTTTTACCACATTATCTGACAAAGGGACAAACTTGAACAGTTGTAAAATTAAACTTTTCAGAACAAGACCTGGTTTACAAAGGGCTTCCATCCCAAGCTCATAGTGTGCCACAGAAGGATGCCTGGAGCCCTGGCAGATTCTTTTGCCACAGGACCTGTACACTGTGATCATGGTGCTTCCCAAATCACCTTCCTGCCAGGAAAGGTTGTGCTACAGCACCTGGGAATGCTGCAAAAGTCTGGACAACACCTTGGTGATGCAGCTGTCAGAGGAGAGCATGGAGGCCTCTTCCCAGAGAGCAATAGCAGGGGTGCAGCCTTGATTTGCTAAGGAGAGAAACAAGCTCCTGTTCCCAGCAGTTCCTGGTTTAAAAGCAGAGTTATTGACCCATTCTGCATACATTTTATTTTAAAATCATTCTAACTTCTTGCAATTCTTAAGCATCTCTAAAACCAGGGTGAATTAGCCAGCATTCCTTCCTAGTGTTACCAATGCAACCTCTTACCCATCAGCACAGTCTGACTCTTTCTCAGCTGCAGGACTGAGCAATATGGGGACATAAAAGCAAAGAACACACTTTGTGCCAGGGAATGGTGCAGCACTGAGAGCTCTGGCAGGGAGAATGCAGGCAGCCTTCAGACAGGTGAAGTCTGACTCCTCAAGCTCCAATCTGACACTTCTCACAGACATTCATTTCGCTTTTTTGTTGTTGTTTAAACATCCCTTGAGGGCAATACTTCTGCAAAACCACCACCTTTCTCCCACCTTTCCATGCTCATCCCAGGGGACTGGTGATCAAAGCCAGGAGAGCAAACCAGGGGCTCTGATGGGATGTGGAACATGGGTGATGGAGCTGTGAGGCCTCAGATCTCCCTGACAGGTCTGGGCACTTGGCACATCAGGATTGCTGGCTCTGCTGTCACACAGGGCTTCTACCACTGCTGTTATTCCCTCAGCACCTCAGTGGCAGGTTTAAAATCAAATTACACGATTGCTACAGGCTGCACACCCTGCCTGAGCCCTGAAGTCAGATGACTTGAAACAATAAATATGCCTGGGTAGCAGTTCCCTAAGAAATGTCATCCTTAGGCTGCTCCTGTGTTCCTCCTAACGGAACCTGACGGGACTCATCGACTGCCCGCTATTCCTGGCACTGCAGCGGAAGTTATTGATTCTGGGAAATATGAAATGTGCCTGAGAGGTCACAATGGGACTCTGTGTCCAAGTGAGACACCAAGGCCTTCAGAGACACTGAACAAGGCAGAGGGAGCAGCAGGAAATGAAAGGTGGGGAGCTGAATCCATGAGGGATTGGTGGCGTTTGAACAGCACCGCCCCAAGAAGAGGTGAAGGTGCTGATCCAGGTTCCCTGTGACCAGGAACCACCACAGGGTAAATGTTGCCCAGGCTGTTGCTCCACCTGCTTCCCTCTGCACTAATACACATTTTTAAGGGATGCTCTTAGAAGGACCAAAAGTTGAAAGGCATTTCCTCCTCTTCCCATAGTGAAGGCACATGCTGGCAGGGAAATCTGGGAGGAAAATGCTCTTATGCCATACAGGCAATGGACATTTTGTGCACAAGCAAGATGCCTTCACATTCCCAGAGGAATTCAGCTAAAAAGCATCACTGCCAAAAACTGGAGAGAATTCAGATGCTTGGAGCAAACTTATATTGCTAAAAGTGGGGAATTGGTCAAGAAAGATGTTCAGGCTATCAGAAGTTGTTATCAGAAGTGTCCTTCATTTCTGAAAGCACAGGAGTGTAGGTATTCAACAAAAATCAATTTCTCAAAAAGACTCTCTTTCCATGACCAAAAACCTTTGGTGAGGGCTGAGCAGAAATTGAGCTTTATGTCTGTATCATGTGGACATTTAGATTCCACAAAGCAAAGCAATGGTATTTTTCAGCCATGAGCCCTCTGAGGCAGGTAACAAATAACAGAGATTTGACAGAGGGAGAAAAGCTTTCTCACAAATCTCCTGTTTTCCCAGTCCCAAAGGGCTGCAATCTGCCTCTCAGCCCTCTTCCATGCTGCTGCTCAGTCCATGATCTCTTGGGTTTGTGTTTCCAGACAGGAGTCCAGCATTTTCCTGCTGACCTCCAGCACTCAGCTGCTCCTCCTGGGGTGTCATCACAGTATCCACCACTCCTGAGGCTGCCAGGACATTCTGGGAACCACTGCCTTGGGAGAAGGCAGCACAGGGGAGCACAAGGAATAGTGTGACTGACATTTGTTTTTATGTTTATTGCTACTACTGCTGTTAACGTGTCTTGTTTTCTTTTTCTAAAGAGCAGAGTTCATGAATTATGTTCAGCTTAAAAAGAAAGCTGTAAAAAGTACCAGTGAAAGACATCAGGAAGAAAAAACTCAAACCCACTCCTGTTATCTTACTCTCTCTCTTCTCTCTTTGTTTTTTTAGGTTCTGCATGCAGTTTCAGGCAAATGCAGCAGTGCCTGGGGTGTGGTGCCTCATGAGGGCTCCTGAAGAGGCACCTGCTGTGGGAAGGGAGCAGTGGGAACTTAGACACAAGAGCACTGAGCTTGCTGTGAGCAGTTTCCACACCAGGGAGAGGAAGAACTTGGTCTTGTTCCTGGCTACAGGTGGTTCTGACACATGAAGGGTTCCACTCATTCTCAGTTGAGACAAGTTAATGGTGCCTGTCCCATTAGAAGTGACTAAGTAGGATATCTTGCACTTCCCCCAAAACTGACACCAGAAGAAGGGTGGGTTTAGGTGGGATATTGGGAAGAAATTCTTGGCTGTGTTTGGTGCTGAGGCCCTGGCAGGGTTGCTCAGAGCAGCTGTGGCTGCCCCATCCCTGGAAGTGTCCAAGGCCAGGTTGGACAGTAGTGGAAGGTGTTCCTGCACGTGGCAGGAGGTGGAACAAGGTGGTCTTAAAGGTCCCTTTTAACCTAAACACTTCTGGGATTCTGTGATCAAGAATGTGAGAATGCCAACACAGCCTGGAACGTGGACAAAATCCCTGTTTGGAGTTCCTGGGTGGGGTGACACTGCAGCAGGAGGGTCCAAACCTCAAAGATAAGTTATTCATAAAGATATCCAAGATATAAAGATATCAATATAAAGATATTCAAGTTGTACACCAACTTACAAACTTCTGGGAACTTAACTAACCCCAACAAAAAGCTACATGCAGACTTTGGGGATTGAGCAGTGACACTGCTCTAAGTCACTCCCACAGTGGGGATTTCCCTCTGACCAAAGAGCTCCCTTGTTCAATGTATGGGAAACACAGACAGCAAAAGATGGTGGGAAAAATTAGCAGCATTTCCAGTTGTGTTGGAAAGCCTTGTTCACATCAGAACACCTTCCCCACATACCTGAACAGGAGAACGGGGATTTTAAAGAACAGGAAAACCTGCACAGGGTGCTCAGTAAATCTGAAAGGAAAACACCCACCTTAAAGCTCATCTCCTCTATGGAATTTTCACCTGGAGTGCAGCTGACACCAGAGGAAAGGGTGAAAAGGCTTAGAGCTCTGTGAGAGATAATGATAGAACTGCCAGCAGTGGACCCTGCTGGGTCACCAGAGAAAGGGGGAAAACACAACCCTTTGTGATTACAGTCAAATACAAATAAATATGTTGGAAAAGAACATTCTCTATTTCCTGCAAGCAGTAAAGTTTGGGGGGAAATGGCCTATGACAAATATTTTTCTCTGCTGGAGGCAGCAGCAGGGCTCTGACAGGCACGCTGGAAAACAGACCATACGTTTGTGCATATTCAACAGCCCCACTGGGAGACATCATTTCTCAGGCTGCTGTTGGGGTTGTGTTTGGCACTTGAACTGTTTTGGGGGCTTTGATAGTCCAGGATCTGTGTAGAGCATGTTTTGTTCTGAGGGAAAAGAGCACAAGCACATGACCAGAAGCTCTGATCAGCTCCTGAAAGATCCAGACCAGCAGAGCTCAACAACACAACTCCTTTGTAATGGAAATGCCATAGCTAGGATGAAATTAGGAAAGCAATGTGTACAAGTGGGCTCTGAGAAGGTTGAAGTCATCCCCAGCATTCCTGCCCAGCAGAAAAGGATGCAAAGTTAAGACACCTCTGAGTGGAGAAGTGTCAACCCAATTTAGCTGCCCAAGCAATCAATGAGGGATCTTTATGAGTGTTCAGGAGCCCTAACACACAGATCTTCCCAGGGAAACTGAAAGGAGCTAATTAATAGCCCAGATAAACAGAATGAAATGCAAAGCTGGACATAGATCTTTACAGCCCGGTGCTGACTGTGCTGAATTCTCCTTGCTCTCCCAGCTGACCCCAGTGAGGCATCAAGATTAATGCTTGTACAAAAAGCTTTTGCTTTCCACTTTTTGTAAAGCACTTGCAGACTGTCTACTCAAGTGTTTCACCTGGCTGCAATTAGAGATAGTTTAGGCTTGACTTACAGACTTAGCTGGGTGTAGTTTTGCTCTCCCCATCCCACTCTGAGCACCCTAAAGTGACACCTCTCTGTCTTTACTGCTCTGGCTGCCAGGATGTGAATTCCCTAAACAACTGAGGCTGTTTAACTCCAAATTGCTCAGCTCCATCTGTGCCACCTGCCCTGTTTGCAGTGTGGTTTGGGACTCCCTGGTGCCCCAAACTGCAATGAGGTGATGATGTCACTCACAGCTAACACACAAAGCCCTGGCAGGAGATGTTGAAAAGTCATGGGAATCCTCCTTGTTCCCAAGAGGTGCAGAGCAAGGGCCCTCAGAGGAGCTTTAGGAGGAGTTCCAAGGCTGGCCTTGAACATGGGATACCTCCTGGACAGGGGACTTGTGGTCATTTGGCCTTTTCAAGAGCAGGTAAAGACATGAGCTGGCTTTGGGGACTGGGCTGCTCCAACCATGGGACATATGGCCAGCCCAGCAGAAGCAGCTCCTGCCCTCTGCCACCAGACTGAGGCCATTTTGATCCAAGTGTTTTAGGGAGAAATACCAGTCAGTCTTGTCAGCAGGAAAGGTCTGGGTGGGACAGCTGCTCTGGGCAACCTGTGCCAAGGCCTCTCCACCCTCACAGGGAGGAATTTCTTCCCAATATCCCATCTAACCCTGGGGTCCAGAGAGATGTGAGATGCTTGAGAAAGGTAAATCTTGGGCTCAAGGGCTGCAGCTGACCTTGATTTTGTTCCTCAAGTGAGGAGCTCTCCTGGTTCCAGAAGGAGCCTCTCTCTATATGGAAGCTAAAGATCATTAAAACCTTCCAGAGGACAACAGCCAACATTCTCCTTTCTCTCAGCTCCCACTCCCTCACACACTCTCTTGACTGAGGAGGAGGAGGAGTAGGTTCTGCTTGGCCTGGTTTGGAAGGGAAACACAAACCCCACTGGGAGGGATTTGCAGTTATCCAACTGCACCTCAGTCTTTCCTCTCCCATCACTCTAGTGACCCAGAAGTCCTAGAAAATAAATAATATTTGTAATTGTTGGGTTATTCCTCTACACAAATGTAATCTTTCTATCAGTGCTGTGCATAAGGATCTGCAGAGAAAACAGGAATGTTCTTGGGATTGGAGACCAGTGGGCAGAACATTTTTTGCAGGCCCACACAAAACTTTTGGGTTGTCCCAAGCCAATGTCCCAGAAGGACATCAGAGTCAGCACTTTCACTGCTGAAATTACCCACAGCCAAGATAAATACATGAAATATTAGTGGGAATATTGAGAAATAACAAAAACTGGTGCAGAAACCACGCTGGAATGTGCTCGCAGGGACATGCACAGGCACAGCCTGTCCAACGGACTCGTGGTCATCCACCATCCTGGCTCACAACCATTCCCTGAAACCTTCCACCAGCCTCAGCTCCTTCTGTACAAAAGCAGTCTCATGGCCTGGATTAAAGCTCTAGCAGCTTCATTTTGGTTTGAGCTCAGCTTCTCTCCTTGACTAACAGGGTTTGGGAAGCTGTGAAGATCATACCATCATTGCAGGAGAGAAAACATTCCCCCATGGCATCCCCCTTGCTCTGTGCCCACAAACCTCAGGGTCCATCACACAGCCTTGAGTCTGCATGGAAAGAGCCAGCTGGAACCTCTGGAAACCTGGAATGCTCATGGGATTGAGGAAGGGGGAAAGCACAAGCACTGGCCCCTTCTCCAAAAGCTGCACACCAAGATCCCAAATCACTTCTTACTCCAGCACTCAGGGATTCACTGGAGTCAGAGCTTTGGGATTTAACTGCTGCTGGAAAAGGAAAAACTCTTATTTGCCTGCACAAAGATTGGGAGATTTCTTCCTCCACTCCAATGGAAGTTTAATCCAACAGGCCCCTTGCTGTGTGTCCAGTGGCCTGGTCACCACTGCCTCAGGTGAGCACAAATCCAGTGCACTGACATAGGAAAACAGCCTGAACTGCAGGTGTGCTCACATAGCTTCATTTAGATCTTTCCTGATGGGAGAATTGAGAACCAAAGATGTTCCCACCAAACCTACTCATCCAATTACTGGAGCACTTTGAAATTGTGATACGGATCAGAGGAGCAGCCTGCGCTTTTCCCTGGACAGACAGGAGTGTGCAGACACTGCACTTTTGGGAAGCATCAAGAACCAGACACAGGAGCTTTGTGGCTTTTCTTCTTTGGTTCTGACTTGCTCTGACTCCTCACCTGCTCACCATTAGCACCCCGTGGTGCAGTTGTGTTTGACATCCCTGTACCAGCCCCTGATTTATACGGCCTCTCACAATCCCTGCTCCTCGGTGCGGCCTCGGGAGCAGCAGAACAGACATTCTGAAATGGAACTGCTTTGAATCAGCCACTGCCAAAGGAGCAGACACCTTCAAAGAGCATTATCTTTGTGAATCAAACTTCACCCTTCCCAAATGATCTCCTTTTTTTAATGAAATGGAGCTTTTAGGGTTTGGCAGAAATGGACAAATACTCCAATGGACAGACTTAAAAAAAAAACAGGTGAAAGCATGACTGAGATTCACAGTCACAGAATAAAGGAGAGAAAGGATCCAGGAAGAAATACAACATGCTACATTCATCATTCATTCAATTACAAGGATTTGAGCAACTGTGCAATGAAGGGAATTCAAGCTGCCCATTTTATGCTGTACCTCTGATGCTTTTCCACATGGCACTGCAGGAGATGAGCCGTGCTCCTTTCTACACCCATTCCCCACAGAAAATCTGCAAACCATCACCACTGATGTTCCCCAATTTAGAACCCATGTCCTAACGTTCTCTGCCTCCAAAGCATGGCCACCACTTAATGCCCTGCTTGCTTTAGGAACGTGGTTTTCCTTTGGTCTGATGGGAACACCATGATTATGTGCTGCACGTGCCAGGGAGGCAGGGCTGGGTGGGGAAGGAGAAGGGAGGCTTCAGCTCAGAAGTGATAGTACCTATTTTTGGCTCCCAGAGCCAGGCTGTGCTTCTCCCACTCTGTTTTGATGCTCCAACACATTTCACTGGAGATGTCACCAATCCCAGGCAGTCATGACAATCTGGGGTGCTGGGATTCAGCCTCGTGGGGGAGGGAAGACAAGCAGCAATTTTTCTGAAGTCTGTAGCAGGAACAAATGGATTTGTGACTGTTGTGACTGTTATTTGAATATTAGTACTGAGATGAGGCTATTTTTCAGTCTGAACATACCCTTAGAACACAGGAGATGTACACCTGGTGCTCTCTTCCACCTGGCTGCAGTGGGACATCAGCTCTTCCTGAACTTCCATGATGAGGTTTTCAGATCTGCCTAAATATCATGCAGAACCAAATGCCCTCTTGCTCCCCACTGCCTGGGACACATAAAACAGACAAAATACAGTGAATTAATGTCCTAAGTGTGTTTTACATAACTACAGTGCCTACTGGGGATGCACAGGATTTCCCCAGAACTCCAAGTGCTACAGTTCCCACTTTTATTAAGTGACAACTTATTTACATCCCAGAATCCTGAGGCAGTACAAGCCAAGGTCTTTGCTCACATCACCTGCTGCAGGTACCCCCAGGAGGTTGTGAGAGCCTCCCCTCCATGGCTGTGCTTCAGCCATGTGAAGGAGGAAGCCCAAAAACTCTCCTGAAACTGAACACTCGACCCTCAGTCGGTGCTGGAGGGGCTCCCCACAAGCAGGACACCCTGTGCCCCCTGCCCCCAGCAGCCTGTCCCTGCCTGGCACCCTGCCCTCAGCCCTGCAGCACTGAGCAGGGAGGGGAGACAAAGCTGGGGCTGCCCATCCCTGGCAGTGCCCAAGGCCAGGGTGGATGGGGCTTGGAGCAGCCTGGGACAGTGGCAGGTGTCCCTGCCCATGGCAGGGGGTGGAACTGAATGAGCTTTAAGGTCCCTCCCAACCCATTCTGTAATTCCAAATCCAACCGGATCCAATGGAAGACAAGGCAGAGCCTGAGGAGCTCAGGTATCTCTGATGCCAGAGCAGTGCTCTGGGAAAGGGGGGAACCAAAAGCCACCCCTGTGGGCAGGCTGCTCACTCACCACAGGATCAGCTTTCCTTTCTTCAGCTGCTTTTCTTCATTCTGTCTCCTGCAGCACCCTGTGCTATGGAGTGATAGAAACACGTAACAGCTTCTCCAAACACAGTTATCTTTAGAAATGGAACAGCAAAAGAAAATGACACCATGTAGACACTGTAAAAAGCCTTCACTACATTAAAAAAAAAAAAAAAAGTTACATTCTTGATCAAGGAACAAACTGGTCTGAATAGTCACAATCACATTTTACAGCCATGTAACTCTTTTTATCTTTTTCTCTCCCAACATCTGAAGAAGATGAACATCTGATTCCTTTATGTGGGAATTGCTTAAACCAGCACTGGGAGAAAATACGCAGTTGAATATTGATCTGGAAAGATGGAGTGAGTTCAGCCCTGAGTTAATGCTCCTGGATTTTGGACAGGGGCTGGCAGAGCTCAGCCCCTCTCAGGACCAGCCCCAGCCTGGTTCCTGCCAGCCCCACAGCCCAAGGCTCCTGCAGCTCCATTCTTTTCAGCAAAGGTTGGCTGAAGGAGCACAGCACCATTTTATTTAATCATGGTTGGAGTTCTGGCATCCACAGCAAAAAAATCCTGGGAGCAGAGTGTATTTTCATGATCAGTGCATGCAGAGTGGTATAAAATGTCTGCACCACTTCTTTCCACTCCAGCCTGTGCCTTTGAAGTCATGGTAACAGCTTTTGGATCCCAATCCTCTGATGAGACTCCTTGATTTATTAGGTAAAACATCTGGAAAAAATGAGGACTTGTGGCAGTGTAAATCCTCCAGAAGGAGCAGAGAGAGGTTTCATCTGAGCAGCCCTCCTGTCAAACACAGGAAACCTGAGCCCTGGCCACTGGCTTCAGGGTGCTCCGGGCTGAAAAGCTCCAGCAGGGCCCGTTCCCGTTTCACCCAGGCCAGAAAGGAGCTGTGAGCAGAGGAATGCCCAGCAGCCCGGGGAGCTGGGGCCATGCCAGGCCCCTGGAAAGGTTTGCAGACACTCGGGTGGCAGTGGCAGTGCTGCCCCTGACAGCACCGGGGAGCCCCTGCTGGAAATCCCGGTGCTCTGGGAGCACTCTGGGATGTAAATACCTGCAAATACCTGCCTGTCACCACACAGGAACAGGCACCAGCCAAACCCACTGCCCGAGAGGGGCCTCGGGGTGGCTTTTCCATCCCAGAATTACAACAGGAATGTCAGAGAAGAAAATGGTTTGGAAGGAATGAAGCCCGTGGAAGTAACAAACAAGGCGACATGCACTTTGGAGGCAGATTCCTTCTTTTAGGTGACATGCCCTTTGTAAGGCAGATTCCTTCTTTTATTTGGAACCAGCCCTGAGATTAGAGAAGAAAAGAGGAGAGAGGGAGCATCAGGAGCAGCTTGCAGTGCAGGGTGTGTGCTGGGCAGACACGTGTGAGAGCACACGCGTGTGCATCCAGCGTTGGGCACGTGGGGGCAAAGGTACAAATCACCCAGGTACCTGACTCACAGTTATTTACTCTCTGCCTTCTCCACACAACAACCCAGGTTCCAAATTTCAGCACTGAAAATCCCCTGAGAACCATCCTTTGCCAGTTATTTTCCCATCTAAATCCTTCTTCCAGCAATTTGAATCACACAGTTCAAACACCGGCCCTGATGCCAATGGTGCTTTTTGGAGGGGGCGCAGGACTGGCACGGGAGGGGGAGTTTGGGGAGTATTTTTTTAATCAGATAAATTATTGCTGGGAAACCAGCCACTTCTCTCCATTCAATTTATACTCTATGGGGAATCCATCTAATACCCCTGCTCAGAGTGTGAGGCAGGACTAGCGAGGTGCTGTATCAAAGCAGGGAGGGAGGCAAAAGATGGGATGGAGTGCAGGGAACGAACAAACAACGGGAGGAAAGGGCTCTGGAAAAGCCTGCAGAGAAGAGGGAAAGCCAAGGGATGTGTCTGCAGCTCCTCAAACAAGGGAGGAGGGGAGAAAATGGATTTCTCTGCTGGCAAAGTGAAAGGCTGGAGCATGGGCAGAGTGGGATGGGATGGGATGGGATGGGATGGGATGGGATGGGATGGGATGGGATGGGATGGGATGGGATGGGATGGGATGGGATGGGATGGCTCAGAAACACAAGGAGCTTTTCACCTGCGGGGAGGTGGCACAGCTGCAGGCAGGATGGAGGGTCCGATCAGGCTCTGCTTGAGTTTGCAGAGTGAGTTTAGTGATTTCCCATTTCCCAGTGGAACTGGGAAGCTGCCAGTTCACCTCACTGCTGTATTTGGAAGTGATGAACACTTTGCTGGCTGGCAGAGAGAGGCCAAGGCCTGGGAACAGAGACAGTTTGCAGCACCCAGGGTTCCAGCCGTGCTCACAGGTCTGGGAGCCTTGCCCTGCTGTCTGGGCATTCCTCTCATCCCTGCTGTGTTCCCTGCTCACCTCAGGCTCTGCTGCAGCCCCAGGGGTGGGGAACAGGCTGTGTCCTGAGCAGCTCCTCATCCCAACGGGCACAGCTGGAGCTGGGCACTGCCAGCAGGGGCACAGGCAGGGATTGACTGCCCCGAGCCCACCGAGCAAGCTGGGGACCAAAGCTGCCCAGAGCCTGCTGCCCATGCAGGACTGGCTCTCTTTCATGTGCTAACACCAATTTAGTCCAGAGGCTTCCCAGTCCAGCACTTCCCAGTGACTATAAATGCACACAGAGTTTTTAAAGAATTACAGGGTAATGGCACCTGAATGGGTGTCGAGGTGCACTTTGCTGGCCTTTTATTCTTCTTTATAACAAAGAATTCAAAGCTTTAGTGGGAGAGTTGGCAGTAAGCTCAGGAGATGGGGAGACTTCTGAGGATGATTTCCCAGATTCTGGGAGTGACTACAGTACAAATAATGTTGGAAAAGAAAGGAATTGACTCAGCAGGAGGCAAAAGGGAACAAGTGGAAGAGTAACTCTGCTCTGGAAAGCCATGAGGAGAATATGACACAAAGCAGAAAAGAGAAATAAGGCCCAAAAAAAGAAATCTAATGTGTATTTCAGAGGGATTCCTTCTGACAGCCTGACTGTCCAAAAACTGCCGAGTGCCATTCTCAGGAAACTGGGCCTTACACGAAGTCCAGGGGATTTTGGCCCAAAACAACAAAGAGATGCTTTAACTCAGAGCTCATTCCCATACTCCCCAACAATCCAGGGGCTCTCTCCAGTCCCCCCTGGCTCAATCTAAGCAGTGTGAAAGTGTTGCTCCTGACATTACACCCTCCTTTCCCAGGCAAAATTAATGCTTGAAGCAACGCTGATCTAAACACGTAATTAAACCCCCTCTAGCCCACCTACCTAATAAACTCATTTCCAGACACCAATTAACCTGTGAGGTTATTACTGGGGATTACAGATCTCCCTAGAACTCCTCGTGTCAGGATGCAGGGAGCCCAATTGTTCTGCAAGTGTCAGGTCATGGGGATCACCTTAACCTTGGATCCTTGTCCAGCTACCACAGTCCTGGGAATAAAATTAATAACTTTTTGGCATTTTCTTCCTCTCTAAGAAATGGAGAAAGTGTTATCTCTTCCTCCTCATAATTTTTCCTTGTATTTTGAGTTCCCAGACATCTGTACTTTGTTAAGGCACTGCCCATTTCAGAGGCTTTTTCCAGGACTGGATAAACTCTGGCGATAGATATCCAAGCTGGTTTGTACATTTAGTAGTCCCTAAATGTCTGTTTTGGAGTCTGTTCCAGATTCTAATCATGTTACATTAAGGTTCAGGGACTCAGTAACCTCTCCCCTCTCAATCCCCAAGAAAAACAGAAACAACAGCCCTTCAACCCTAGATCAAGCACAAACCTCTCCAAAATCCCAGCCCAGAACATCTTTCACCAGTCTCTGTTCTCTGTGACTCCTGGACTCCACAGGACGTGCAGAGTCTCCCTCTCCAAGGAAATGACATGACTCAGGATTTCTCCTGACAGAACAAGGTGGAGAGGCTGCTCGTGGCCAGCTCATTCACATTAAGGGGCTGTTTAAGCCTCTCCAACCTTTCTGGAGCCTTGCTGGGCTGTGGGAGTTTTGGGCTGCTCCCTTGTTCCACGTTGGTTTTCATTCCTCATTTCTTTGACACCTGATGCCATGTGGTTTGTAGAAATCCCTCTGGGCTCAATAAACTATGGAACTGAGCCTCCTTATTCTGTTTTTTTCTTCCACCTGTGGGGACTCTGCTCTGGGTTTCTTTTTCCTCTGTCCAGCTGCAAACTTGCAGGTAACTTTTGGGAATTTTGTATCGGTGAA